TTAAGTATTTGAGAGTTTGAGTTTGTGAAATAAATTTCACAAGAGATTGGGGAGATCATCTATTGGTGTTTGAGCATCCAACTCTTCTCCTTCCACACTTGATCAATTGAGAAGTTTTCTAAACTCAATATAGCTTTATATTTTATATTGTTTGATTATCATTTTATTAAGCTAGTGTTCAAATTGAGTTTAGTTGATTTTATTTTCTCTTTGTTTACACACACACAACCATTGAGCTTATTGTATTCATACATAGTATATTTGGGTTGGTGAGTGTTGTAACTTTGAGTGTGAGCTTATATTGAGTTCTTATCTATTATAGAGAACAAATTATTTGTTATAGTGTGAGGTGTGGACGTTGATCGGTGAGCGTTAAAAACCGACATTGTGAGGTGTAAACGTTATTCGGGTGAGCGTAGAAAACCTGATTGTGATAGTGGATTTCTTCCCGAGAGTGGGGAGCGGAGACGTAGGACGGAAGGTCCGAACTCCATGATCATATCGTATGTTTGAGTTTTCTTTGGCGCTCTTCTCTTATGTTTATATTTCTTGTCGTCATTGTCCATTGCTCTTTATTTATATCATCCAGTATCTTGTTTATGTTTATTTCACCATTGTGTTAATTTGTATATCATTGCATATATCCCATAGTATATCTCATTGCTAGGATATATCTCATTATTCATATTGTTTATCCTAGCTCATATATCTTGTTGTATTTTATACTTGCTAGGATAACTTATTAATTAGTTTTAATTGGATCCTAGCTCATATATCTTGTTGTATTTTATACTTGCTAGGATAACTTATTAATTAGTTTTAATTGGCATAAAATCGGATTTATTTTATACTTGCTAGGATAACTTATTAATTAGTTTTAATTGGCATAAAATCGGATTAGATTAGTATAAAACCCTAATCAACCCCCCTCTAGGGTCTAATAATTGGTATCAAAGCTTGGTACTCTTTGATTTAAGAACTAATCGCCTTGAGTTAAACATCTAAGTTATCTTTTTGTGCTAATCCAATTTTTGATTTTTGCTTTGTTTGCATATATATACATTATGGATATGCACGGTGAACCTTGTTTAGGTTATGCCATGAATGTTTCTCCTTGTTTAGATAATTTCTCCTATACCCAATGGTGTGTTAAATTTAAGCTATTTGTTAGATCTAAACATTTTGAATTATGAGAAATTATAGATTGTGCTTATATTGCACCCATCTTGGAGAAATCCAAGTGGAGTAAAGATGATCATAGAATGATTACCATGAACAATATTTTGTTAGAATATGAGTAAAGATGATCATAGAATGATTACCATGAACAATATTTTGTTAGAATATTTGCTAAATGCTTTTAACTCATCTCTCTCTAACAAGTTTGTTCATTTTGATAGTGCTTACACCTTATGAAAATTTATTGAAGCACATCAAGGGGACTTGGAGGTGATCCGACAAGCCTTGAAGGATTCAGCTTCAAGTTCATATGGAGCATCATGCACACGGCCACTAGGCGATAGCCCTAGTGAGGTTTGAGAGTTCGAAACCATTAATGATTTATCTAGTGATGAACTTGCTTGTGCTAGTGAAAAATTATTACCTGCCTATAACATATTGCTTTGACCGTGTTAGTGTACCATATATGCCCATGAGGGTTCATAACCCTAGGGCTTTGAGCTTAAATGATTGGGGTTATGTCCCTAAACTTTTTGGTACCAAGAATTCTTGGGTATCAAAATAAATTTGATTTTTAAAAAACCAAGTATTTTAGTGTTTTTCTTTTTCCTTTTATTGGTTTTGAAAATTATGTTTTAAAATATTTTGGTTATGAAAATAATTTTTCTTTGATCAAATCTTTTGTTTTCATGATTATTAGTTTTGATTTTAAATGAGAGGTTTATAGTTATATACCCTCTGGGTTTATTGGGTGTTTATTCCCAAATCATGTTTACCAGATGCTAGAATGATTATATGTGTTGGAACAAGCTTAAGAGCTTGATATATTATTGCCTCTCTTGAAATTCTTTTGTCAAAGATTTTGTTTTGAATTGTTGCTTTGAATTCATTATATTTCACTTATATGATGATATTTATGTGTTTGTGCCTATGGATCATCTATTCGTGTCTTATAATGTATTCTATGAGTGGTTTGATCAAGTTATATAAAGAAAATTTTCTTCTTTGATCAAACATTGTTTTTGGACTCAAATCTTGATATATGACTTCATTTGAGTGATTTGTTTTCACTTGAAAACTTTTTTCATGGTTCTCATGTTTTCTTCATTCCTTTGCTTTCATAAATCTATTTTTATGCACTATGTTTTTATAATTGTTAATGAGACACTATTTTCATATTGACATATTTATATATGTTCTCATTGTCTTTTTGTATGTGAGTGATATTTAGCATATTCATGTATGCTTGCTCACATATATGTGCTTTGATCATTATTGCACATATTTCATAAGGTATTTTCATAGGGGGAACAATCCCTATATCTTTTTATGTGTTATACTCACTCATGCTTATAGGTAGGGGGAGCTTTCACTCTTTTTCATCTATATGATTTTCCCCCTTTTGATGTTGTCAAAGAGGGAGAAATATTGTGAGTATATTCTTTCTTGTTTATATGCATGATAATTCTAATTTATATATTTATTTCTTTCAAGCATATATATCTCTTTTGTAAATTGTTTGTTATCATCAAAAAGGGGAGATTGTTGGCCTTCCTGTTTTGATGATGTTTAACAAACAATTTATGACTAATGTTGTTTATCTAGTGCTTGTGATTTTCTATTTATTGTAGACAAACAACATTATTGGAGGTTGGATGGATTGCGCTTCAACGATCAAATCCAATGAAGGTTGGCAGAATTGTGGAGTGAAGCCTACACATTCAAGTTAAAGATTCAAGTTCTAGCTTCATCCGTAAGTGTACCAAGATAGAGCTTATTGAAGATCAAGATCAAGCTTGGGTATATTTAGTTTAGGTTTTATATTATGTGTGTTAAGTACTCTAAGCTCAATATATATGTGTGTGTATATATACCAAGATAGAGCTTATTGAAGATCAAGATCAAGCTTGGGTATATTTAGTTTAGGTTTTATATTATGTGTGTTAAGTACTCTAAGCTCAATATATATGTGTGTGTATATATATATATATANAAGTTGAAGATCCAAGTTCAAGCTTCATCCGTAAGTGTACCAAGATAGAGCTTATTGAAGATCAAGATCAAGCTTGGGTATATTTAGTTTAGGTTTTATATTATGTGTGTTAAGTACTCTAAGCTCAATATATATGTGTGTGTATATATATATATATATATACTAATATACTTTCTCTCTTAGTATATATACGTACGTATACTCTCTCTTATATATGTATACTCCCTCTTATATAAGTATACTCTATCTTATATATGTATAATATGTGTGTGTATACTCTCTCTCTTAATATATATAAGTATATATAAGTACAGTATATTACAACAGCTATTTCTTCCCTATTGGCCCAACGGGCAACGGCTACTTATGCGATTCTCTCTCTCTCAAGTTATAACTTATAAATATATACAATATATTTACATATAATATATGTATATATAATATATAATTACATAATAATTTGTAAGTATATACTAATGCATAATTATATAAAATATAATAATATTAAACTAATTTTTAGCATTTTTTATCAAAAAAAAAAGAAAAGAAATTTAAAAAAACCTAGGTGGGATGTACTTATCTATTGTGATGCGATGAATTCCAAAATAAATTTATACTT